CTTAACGTTACATTTAATTTACAGTTTGCCAGTGTAACATACAAGTTTCTCAGTGTCAGCTATATCTTCCAGTGACATTTTTTATCAATAACTTACAAGATCCCTTTTAGTGTATTCCATTAGTCACTCGTTCTCTGAAAATATGGTTTCTAGTATCCTTTGGGTTCCACTTTTTCACCAATTTACAACAGTGATCTCCTGTTGGCTGAAGTATACCTGGACAGGGTTTCGGGGATTACCTCCGTGACCAGGCCTCATGGTGGATCAGGGCCTGATCAACCAGGCTGTTACTGCTAACCGCATGTAAATCCGACGTACGAACCACAGCCCGGCTGATCAGGTACTGACTTTAGATACCTGTCCAGTGCCTTCTTGAAGACAGCTAGAGGTCTATCGGTAATCCTCCTTATGTATGCTAGGAGGCAGTTGAACAGTCTTGGGCCCCTGACATTTACTGTGCTGCCTCTCAGTGTACTCGTGGGGCCCCTGCATTTTATTGTGGGGTTGTTGCATCTCCTGCCGAGTCTTTTGCTTTCGTAGAGAGTGATTTTTATCAGTTTTCTTGGTACCAAATGTATGAAACGCGCGTATGCATTTATATGCGTGTACGTGTGTGCGAGCGCGCGTGTATGGGCGCACACGCATGCACGTAAAAATACAATAAATAAGAAATATTAAATTTGATTCGACGTCTCGAGGGAAAACTTTCATAAAACGTGGATGCAGGAGGGAGAGTGATAAGACTGAGCGGCGAGGAAAGGCAAGTCATCCGTCATATTTTGGTGGAGACACGTCATGGTGACGCAGGGAAAACTGCTCGTCAACCTGGACCAGACGCATGCATGTCACCCCAACTTAACAACCATCCTCTCCCATCTCCACCAGGAAGATGATAGTCGCCCCACAGTAGAAGAAACATTTACTCTCATCCGAGATAGGGAACATTTATCAGCGTCCCTCATAATTAACAAAAACTTATCACGTTTCCTTAAAACAATAAGTAATAAGTTAGCTTTTGATTCCCAGTTTATATTTCAACTTAAAGTTAACAACGCATACTCGTACAACCGGTTTTGACATATATGAAATTTTAGTTGAAGCACAAATGTTCTTGTGATGACTGCCATCTAACGTCCAGTGTTTATATAATGGAAGCAAGTAGTGAGTTACTTACTACACTTGCTGAGGATAATATACATGTAACCCACAGAAGTCTGATTTATCCTGTGTCGAGGTTCCACTTTAAATCAGAAGCAGCTTCCCCTTGACAGCAAGTTTATATGCACGCTCTATATATTCTTTTTATACAAAAACAAGAGGGTTTTGTGGGGGACAACGAAGCGAGGCGCTCCTCACTTCTAGTACGAGTGCAGATAGAGGCCAAATTTGAATCCACTACCTCGTTAAGCTAGACTGGTCGACTGTCTTGGTTGAACTGTGAAGGTTGCACTTGCTTCATCAAACATTACGACACAAACACAGGATAATTAGCCAGTGAGTGTGTCTCTCGGTGTATAAATACGCTGAGAGTTTATGTCAGTCCCTGTATTAGGAATTAAAGTATTCTTGACTGGTGGTGAACAAACGATCTGCAGCCCTATTGACCTTCGTGTTGTCGATAGAATGGACTGGGAGCCCCATCAAGCAATTTAGACAGTGTAGTTTCGTCTAGCGTGTGGGACGCCACACCAGCCGCTTGGCTATACACGGTGAGGTGCATGTCTCTTAATGTATGTAGGCCATGAGTTTGATTTAGTCCCCATTTTAGTAATCAAAGTATTCTTGCCTGATAGCATCTAACTTACCCAAAGATCAGCGGTAACGAGAGTCGTAGGTGGCAGCAGTAGAGATATAGAGCAGTTTGCAGACTAGTGACTTCTCAGAGTGTGGGCATGATAATGAATGCCGGATTTCAGACACTGAGAGAGATATATGCCTTAAGACAGTGGCGTGTAGAATGTCTTAGTGACGTCTTCATTTTGGTAACCTAACATTGTTGTTTCTGACGAGAGAAACAGACGGAGACAGACAGACAGACAGACAGACAGACATCTCATCCTCAAGAAATCGCATTTCATCAACTCATTAGAGATGTCGTCTCCTGGGATGAGCAGAAAGCTCACAAGGTGTTAGCGCTGGAGGAAACATCTCTTGATCCAGTGAAGGTCAGCAGCAACAGGTATATTTTCCTCTTTTTCTTAAGGTCACAAAATACAAAGAATCTACAAAGTTAGTTATCATTCCTGCGTGTCCCATGTTATCATACTAACATGACGGTAACATAACTATAGAAATTAGATGGGAATCGTAGGGCCATCCTTGGCGAGGTAGTGCTGTCCCTGGAGAGGATGTGAGTACTCACCTAATTGTGGTTGCAGGGGTCGAGACTCAGCACCTGGCCCCCGCCTCTTCACTGATCGCTACTATGTCCTCTCTCTCTCCTTCCTGAGCTTTGTCATACCTCGTCTTAAAGCTATGTATGGTTCCTGCCTCCACTACATCACTTGCTAGGCTATTCCACTTCCTGACGACTCTGACTGAAGAAATACTTCATAACATCCCTGTGACTCGTCTGAGTCTTCAGCTTCCAATTGTGACCCCTTGTTTCTGTGTCCCATCTCTGGAACAACCTGTCTCTGTCCACCTTATCTATTCCACGCAGTATTTTGTATGTCGTTATCATGTCTTCCCCTGACTCTCCTGTCCTCCAGTGTCGTCAGTCCGATTTCCCTCAACCTTTCTTCGTAGGACATTCCCCTGACCTCTGGAACTAGCCTTGTTGCAAACCTTTGTACTTTCTCTAATTTCTTGACGTGCTTGACCAGGTGTGGGTTCCAAACTGGTGCTGCATACTCCAGTATGGTCCTGATGTACGTAGTGTACAGTGTCTTGAACGATTCCTTACTAAGGTATCGGAACGCTATTCTCAGGTTTGCCAGGCGCCCATATGCTGCAGCAGTTATCTGGTTGATGTGTGCCTCCGGAGATATACTCGGTGTTATACTGACCCCAAGATCTTTCTCCTTGAGCGAGGTGTGCAGTCTTTGGCCACCTAGCCTATATTGCATTTGGCAGGGCTGAATTCAAGAAGCCAGTTGCTGGACCACGTGTCCATCCTGTACAGGTTTCTTTGAAGTCCTGCCTGATCCTCGTCTGATTTAATTCTCCTCATTAACTTCACATCACCTGCGAACAGGGACACCTCTGAGTCTATCCCTTCCATCATGTCATTCACATATACCAAAAATAGCACTGGTCCTAGGACCGACCCCTGTGGGACCCCGCTCGTCACAGGTGCCCATTGTGATACATCATTCCGTACCATGACTCGTTGTTGCCTCCCTGTCAGGTATTCTCTGATCCATTGCAGCGCCCTTCCTGTTATACGCGCATGATCCTCTAGTTTCTGCACTAATCTCATGTGAGAAACTGTGTCGAAGGCCTTCTTGCAGTCCAAGAAAATTCAATCAACCCACCCCTCTCTCTAGTGTCTTCTGTAACTTTGTCATAAAACTCCAGAAGGTTTGTGACACAGGATTTGCCTTCCATGAATCCGTGCTGGATATCGTTTATAATCTTGTTCCGTTCCAGGTGCTCCACCACTCTCCTCCTGATAATCTTCTCCATGACTTTGCATACTATACACGTCAGTGACACTGGTCTGTAATTTAGCGCCTCTTTTCTGTCTCCTTTTTCAAAAATGGGAACTACATTTGCGGTCTTCCATACTTCAGGTAGTTGCCCAGTTTCAAGGGATGTGTTGAAGACTGTGGTTAATGGCTCACACAGTATATCCGCTCCCTCTCTAAGGACCCAAGGGGAGATGTTGTCTGGTCCCATTGCCTTTGAGGTATCAAGGTCACTTAGCTTCTTCACCTCCTCCTCAGTTGTGTGTATGTCATCCAGCACTTGTTGGTGTATTCCCTGTTGATGTTCCCCTCTGTCCTGTCTTCCCAGAGTCCTTCCTGTTTCCACTGTAAATACTTCCTTAAATCTTGTGTTGAGCTGTTCGCATACCTCTTGATCGTTTCTTGTGAGTTCCCCACCTTCTTTCCTCAGCCTTATCACCTGGTCTTTGACTGTTGTCTTTCTCCTAATGTGGCTATACAGCATTTTGGGTCAGACTTGACTTTCGATGCTATGTCATTTTCGTACTGTCGCTGGGCCTCCCTCCTTATCTGTGCATATTCGTTTCTGACTCTTCGACTGATCATCTTGTTTTCCTGGGTCCTTTGCTTCTGTACCTCTTCCATTCTTTAATGCACTTAGTTTTTGCCTCCCTACATCTTCGGGTAAACCAAGGACTCGCTTTGGTCTTACCATTATTTCTGTTGCCCTTGGGAACAAACCTTTCCTCTGCCTCCTTGCATTTTGTTGTTACATATTCTGATGCCATACACGCTGGAAAAGGGGCATTGCCTGGTGACGCACGCGCGCACACACACACACACACACACACACACACACACACACACACACACACACACACACACACACACACACACACACACACACACAGGATGTTCCAGAGAGGGGACACAGAAACAAGGGGTTACAATTGGAAGTTGAAGACTCAGATGAGTCAAAGGGATATTAGGAAATATTCTTCAGCCAGAGAGTTGTTGGGAAGTGGAATAGTCTGGCAAGTGATGTAGTGGTGGCAGGAACCATACATAGTTTTAAGACGATGTATGATAAAGCTCATGGAGCAGGGAGAGGTAGGACCCAGTAGCGGTCAGCGAAGAGGCGGGGCCAGGAGCTGAGTCTCGACCCCTGCAACCACTATTAGGTGAGTACACACACTGGTCAACCGACCCTGGGGGAGGTTAGGGCATGGTTTCTGGTGGCCTGGGGAGTGCCAAGTGCCACACACGCGGGAGGGAGGAGTGCAAGGTGCCTCCCCCACGCACGCTAGTCCACCGACCCCCTGGGGAAGGGGGTAGTGCCAAGCGCCCCCCTCCACACACACACAAACACACACACACTGGTGCTTCACACACTCTAGCATCAACCACCGCAGTGAGCGGTCGCAACCACCGCTCTCTCTCTGTCTTCACACGTCCATGACCGGCGGTGGGCCGCACCCCCGCCGCACGCGGCCCCCCGCATGCTCGTCGAGTGAGCACACCCACCCGCAGGTGAACCATAACCGCAGGTGGCGTGTGTAAACCTGTGTATGTGGCCGCAGCTGCCGCCACCCACATGTCGTTTAGCGGCGACGCGCCGCAGGCGTCGCTGCCGCTCCTCCTTGCCCCGGAGGCCGTGCCCACGCCCGTGGGCGTGACGCCGCCCCCAACAGCAGCCACTGAAGTGCTGGTGGTGGGTGGTGGGCGGATCGCTACCCGCCTGGCGCCCGCCCAGTCACCACCCTACCTGAGAGATGATGGTTATTGTTCCTCCCACTCCACTCCCAAGACCACAGGTGAGTCCATCCCAAGACCACAGGTGAGTCCATCCCAAGACCACAGGTGAGTCCATCCCAAGACCACAGGTGAGTTCACCCCGAAGACCACAGGTGAGTCCATCCCAAGACCACAGATGAGTCCACCCCAAGACCACGGGTGAGTCCAACCCGAAGACCACGGGTGAGTCCAACCCGAAGACCACGGGTGAGTCCACCCCGAAGACCACGGGTGAGTCCACCCCCAAGACCACGGGTGAGTCCACCCCCAAGACCACGGATGAGTCCACCCCCAAGACCACGGGTGAGTCTACCCCCAAGACCACAGGTAAGTCCACCCCAAAACCACGGGTGAGTCCACCCCCAAAACCACGGGTGAGTCCACCCCCAAAACCACGGGTGAGTCCACCCCCAAGACCACGGGTGAGTCCACCCCCAAGACCACAGGTGAGTCTACCCCCAAAACCACGGGTGAGTCCACTCCAAGACCGCAGGTGAGTCCACCCCCGGAGACCACAGGTGAGTCCACCCACCTGGCACTCTGATCTCTTTGGCTCTATAATCTCCCTGCTTTTATAATCTTCCTGGCATTCTGTTCTCCCACCAGGCAGTCTTACCTGGCATTCTGATCTTCCATCCAGCACCTTTCTCCTGGCATCCCTCTCTCTCACCTGAGAAATCTTTCACTGTAAAATCTCTATTTTATGATACAAGAAAATCCCAGAGTCATTCGTAGGTATGACAAGTCTGTGAGAAGCGTCTTGACGCAGAGGTGACTGTTGGAAGCAGGTGGAAGGTAGTGGTGACTGTTGGAAGGCAGGTGGAAGGTAGTGGTGACTGTTGGAAGGCAGGTTGAAGGCAGGTTGAAGGTAGTGGTGACTGTTGGAAGGCAGGTTGAAGGTAGTGGTGACTGTTGGAAGGCAGGTTGAAGGTAGTGGTGACTGTTGGAAGGCAGGTGGAAGGTAGTGGTGACTGTTGGAAGGCAGGTGGAAGGTAGTGGTGACTGTTGGAAGGCAGTTGTAACTTGGAAGGCAGGTGGAAGGGAGTGGTGACTGTTGGAGGTAACTTGCGTAATGTGAAACAGAGGCAAGTGGTGAAACTTTCGTGTTTCGTGTGTGACAACAGTGTTACATACACCATAACTGTACTTGGAGGTGTGTACGTATACAGATATTCTCGTATTTGCGTATATATTCTTACGCTATCAGCGCCTCAGTACGCTTCACACACAAACTAGGAGGTTACTAGGTTCTTGGCTAGTGCTGGCAACTGTAACAATGATAATAAGGATATCCTTTAGTACCCCAGAGCAGAGGAGATATTTACACAGGTCTGAGTACCTTATTCCAATCGGTCCTCAGTCTTTGATTACCGGACAGTGTTGTGTAGTGTTGAAGGTCGTGTTGCTGGTACTTTTCACTGGACTTGCTTGTGCAACAGGCAGGTTGAGAGGTCCACTTGTTGCCTCTGTGTTACTCTGTCTGAGGTGACGATATCTCAGCATGATGGTGGCTAGAAGTGGCGTAACTGCCGACAATAGTCAAGGAAAAAAAAAAAACTTCCCAGACGAGACTGGAGAGTAGTGAGCTGGCCATAATGATGAGTATGGAGCTTTATCCAGTCGGACAGGTCCACCCAGAACAAAGTGCTGTCGAAATCGAAGCTTGTTGTGCATCGTTTCTTCTCGTCCCAGGTTGATTCTGGTAACCACCGTCTCGCATTAATGGACGACTTACTGATGCACTCGCACCCACTTTTAGCGCGAAGAAATCTCGCGGATCAATACTATTGTTGGCAGGATTTAGAATATGAGCTCTCTTATACAGCACCAGGGGCAGCATACTGTAGTCAAGCAGAGTGCTTTTAATAACGAAGATAAGCTATGGATGGTCAACTCCATGGTCTCAAACACAAAGTGACGCTGGAAGCCTCAGCAGGTCATGCCTTAACACTCTTGAATGGTTGTTTAATTGGGTTTAAAGCCTGTTCACCACCATCCTGCGCTGCATGACCCTTGTAGGTTTAGCGCTTCTTTTTGATTATAATAATGTTCACCATCACCACTCAAGAAAATGTCTAAGGAAGGAATTAAGATAAACTGCGTATACTGTACATACAGTGACACGCATCATTATGTACGTAGTCTTGTTTGTAAGGTAGCCTTCAGATCCATATATATTTCATAGCACTATACGTCAAATCTATACTGATGTATAAACACGCTGGGCGAATAGATCACGTTCTAGATAACGCCACAGCGATAAGATAACATGTTATCAATGCGTCCGTCGAGTGTGAGGTAAATAAACACGAGTGATAACTTTTCTCATGTGTCCGTAAAGCTTCTTGATTTTAAACCATACCACGGGCGGGGGTTGAACCCGCGGTCAGAGAGTCTCAAAACTCCAGACCGTCGCGTTAGCCACTGGACCAGCTAGCCACTGGACCAGCTAGCCACTGGACCAGCTAGCCACTGGACCAGCTAGCCACTGGACCAGCTAGCCACTGGACCAGCTAGCCACAATAAGATTCGTCCAACTAGGTATATTTCTACACCATAGGAAGGTTAGCATAGGCACCACTGTGTCCACAAATGCAAGTTTTTACAGATTTTTTGTTGACGGTGTATCAAGCCTCCACCACACCGTGTGATGAATGATGCACACGGACGGTGGATCAAGCCTCCACCACACCGTGTGATGAATGATGCACACGGACGGTGGATCAAGCCTTCACCACACCGTGTGATGAATTATGCACATAGAACATAAGAAAGAAGGAACACTGCAACAGGCCTACTGGCCTATACTTGGCAGGTCCTTCTCAAATCCAGTTCACTACACAGGGACGGTGGATCAAGCCTGCACCATTCAAGGTTGTAATTCCTATAATGTCTCCTCTGGCACTTCACAGTCTCCCCTTCTAAGAATTGAAGCTACACCTCCTCTTCCTCGTATCAAACCTGATTATTTCCGACTCCCCCCACGGTTTTAGCGCTTCCCCGTGTTTTTAACCAAATGGAATGATGAAACTTAAATTTTATTAAACAGTGGTTAGTGTAGTCAGTGGTTAAACAGTGGTGCAGTGGTGCAGTAGTGGTTAGTGTAGTCAGTGGTTAAACAGTGGTGCAGTGGTGCAGTAGTGGTTAGTGTAGTCAGTGGTTAAACAGTGGTGCAGTGGTGCAGTAGTGGTTAGTGTAGTCAGTGGTTAAACAGTGGTGTAGTGGTCCAGTAGTGGTTAGTGTAGTCAGTGGTTAAACAGTGGTGCAGTGGTCCAGTAGTGGTTAGTGTAGTCAGTGGTTAAACAGTGGTGCAGTGGTCCAATAGTGGTTAGTGTAGTCAGTGGTTAAACAGTGGTGCAGTGGTCCAGTAGTGGTTAGTGTGGTCAGTGGTTAAACAGTGGTGCAGTGGTCCAGTAGTGGTTAGTGTAGTCAGTGGTTAAACAGTGGTGCAGTGGTCCAATAGTGGTTAGTGTAGTCAGTGGTTAAACAGTGGTGCAGTGGTCCAATAGTGGTTAGTGTAGTCAGTGGTTAAACAGTGGTGCAGTGGTCCAGTAGTGGTTAGTGTAGTCAGTGGTTAAACAGTGGTGCAGTGGTCCAGTAGTGGTTAGTGTAGTCAGTGGTTAAACAGTGGTGCAGTGGTCCAGTAGTGGTTAGTGTAGTCAGTGGTTAAACAGTGGTGCAGTGGTCCAATAGTGGTTAGTGTAGTCAGTGGTTAAACAGTGGTGCAGTGGTCCAGTAGTGGTTAGTGTGGTCAGTGGTTAAACAGTGGTGCAGTGGTCCAGTAGTGGTTAGTGTAGTCAGTGGTTAAACAGTGGTGCAGTGGTCCAATAGTGGTTAGTGTAGTCACTGGTTAAACAGTGGTGCAGTGGTCCAATAGTGGTTAGTGTAGTCAGTGGTTAAACAGTGGTGCAGTGGTCCAGTAGTGGTTAGTGTAGTCAGTGGTTAAACAGTGGTGCAGTGGTCCAGTAGTGGTTAGTGTAGTCAGTGGTTAAACAGTGGTGCAGTGGTCCAATAGTGGTTAGTGTAGTCAGTGGTTAAACAGTGGTGTAGTGGTCCAGTAGTGGTTAGTGTAGTCAGTGGTTAAACAGTGGTGTAGTGGTGCAGTAGTGGTTAGTGTAGTCAGTGGTTAAACAGTGGTGCAGTGGTCCAATAGTGGTTAGTGTAGTCAGTGGTTAAACAGTGGTGTAGTGGTCCAGTAGTGGTTAGTGTAGTCAGTGGTTAAACAGTGGTGTAGTGGTGCAGTAGTGGTTAGTGTAGTCAGTGGTTAAACAGTGGTGTGCAGTGGTCCAATAGTGGTTAGTGTAGTCAGTGGTTAAACAGTGGTGTAGTGGTCCAGTAGTGGTTAGTGTAGTCAGTGGTTAAACAGTGGTGTAGTGGTCCAGTAGTGGTTAGTGTGGTCAGTGGTTAAACAGTGGTGCAGTGGTCCAGTAGTGGTTAGTGTAGTCAGTGGTTAAACAGTGGTGTAGTGGTCCAGTAGTGGTTAGTGTGGTCAGTGGTTAAACAGTGGTGTAGTGGTCCAGTAGTGGTTAGTGTGGTCAGTGGTTAAACAGTGGTGTAGTGGTCCAGTAGTGGTTAGTGTAGTCAGTGGTTAAACAGTGGTGTAGTGGTCCAGTAGTGGTTAGTGTGGTCAGTGGTTAAACAGTGGTGTAGTGGTCCAGTATGTGTTAGTGTAGTCAGTGGTTAAACAGTGGTGTAGTGGTCCAGTAGTGGTTAGTGTGGTCAGTGGTTAAACAGTGGTGCAGTGGTCCAGTAGTGGTTAGTGTATCAGTGGTTAAACAGTGGTGCAGTGGTCCAGTAGTGGT